TTGATTGCAATTGAGACGATGGCTGTAAGATTTGGATTTGACGGAGGGTACCATCGGGATGACATTTCTCCCCCTTATGGAGCGGTGAAATGGAATATGTTAACAAAGCTTAAGAATAGCAATATCTTATTGTGAAAATGCGATCATACAACATAGCTCATTGATTCAATAAAATCAGCAAAAATTGTCTTTTCCTGGGTAAAATCATCGCAACGACTACAATATGTTGACAAATAACCTTATAATTATCGCAGTATATATCATGTTGTTGGGTAAAAATGAAGTAGCGTCTGGTTGTTGTGATGCCAGGTTAAAATGTCGTGATGTCGCCTTATGAAGGTGGACATCACAACATCACGACAGAATATCAATCAGCCACCATATATTCCCTTTATCTTACATATTATCTTATTCCTGTCCAAATGAAGTAAACAGGCTATACTAACCTATTCTTTTTATCTTACATACTAACCTATTCTCTTTATCTTACATATAATCTTATTCCTGTCCACACCCAGTAGACTGGCTATTATTTTCTGTTAAAATAAATATTATAAAGAAAAGAACATATTCCAACAACACCTTCGTCATAAAGATATATAGCTAGCTTATCTACGTAAATAAAATCAAAGTGTTTATGTATGTATGTTCGTCTACACAATTCATTGCCGCGCTCAACCCCCGCACCTGTGGTATCAAATTAATCAGCATGACCCCGTGAATGTTTTAGGCCATCGAATTTGGGCCACTGGCGAATTGGGCTCTGGCCCCGGGTGAATCACGCTTCGTCGCCGCGATCCACCCTTAAATAATGTGCTATCGAATTAACCAGCACGACCCCAGGAATGTTTTAGGCTATCGAATCATATAATAATATATTTCTCTTTCGAAGCACAAAAAGTACCGAAAAGGTAAGGAAGAAAAAAAATTGTCCTCAGCTTTTTTTCGAACGTGTATTAATATTTCAGCAATTGGTTTCCAAATTGGGATTTTTTAATCGAGGTCATCTTTCAATTTACAAAGGCAACCTTTACCCATAGAAAAAATGTTTACATCAAATATTTCACTTTCCAGTTGAAACTCGCGTTTTCGTAGAAAATAAGTCACCCATTCACAGAAATGGCATTCCCTCTAACCATCAATTAATTATTTCAAAGTAGAGTACTGTTCTCAGTAGAAGCATAAGCTCGGTTTTCTAAATGGTGTCCTGCACAAAATTTCAGCGTATTGTGCAAGAGAGAAAGAGAGAGAGAGAGAAATGGGGTTTAACGTCCACTGTCCACTCGACACAAACTAGGTCATTTCGGGACTAACATATAGTTTAATTTTATTTTGTTAATTCGCTTGCGCGTTGGGGTCTTTAGCAGTGGGAGGAAACCGGAGGAACCCGAGAAAACCCACGAGGTTGGACAGGCGACCCTACTCCTTGTCACGTACAACCGGCGATTCGAAACCACGCCAGTTGACTCAGTGACAGGCCTTATGATATACCGCGTATGTGCAGCGACGAAACGTTCAAATAATATATATAGTTTACCTGTGTAAGACTAAGATATTGGGTTGTACAGATTACTTCTATTTCACCATCTTCACCTTTAGGTATAGCTAAGGCAGCCTGTGTCTCCAGATAAAAATGTTCTTGAGCTTCAATATGTACTTCACCGTCTATGACGTGATCTGATTTATTAAAGCCTTCTTCCATATCACCATCTTGTAGCACCATCTCTTTTTCAACTGCATCGTGAAATGAATTCTTCTTTATAGCATCCTTAGAAAATATATCAATCATCAGTTCCAACAATGGGAAAGTATAGGATAACAATTAATCCAGTGAGAACAATATAGACGGGATAGTTATAGATATAAAACCAGATATGAGAAACTAAATAGAAATGAAAATAACCGTCATAGAATGCATCATTATAACAATAATTTTGAGGAAAGTAAAAAACACTTTAAAAGAATGTGTGGTAGCTGGGAGTATTGCATCTAGTCAGACAAACAGGTTAAGGGAGGTGTGTCTCTATTAGATATAAATTTGGTCTTAGTTGTTGTTTATTTTCAGTCGTCATTCTTCATTGCCCATTGTGTTTCATGGACGATTTGGGTTTGCCGTGACACATGATCCAAGTTTCCCAAATGAAATCAGATTTTTTGTCTCGAGAATTATTGTACAGTGTATTTTATAGTTATATGCGAGGGAAACGAATTTTGCCCGGTGTCTGCACCTATTCTTTTTCGATTTCGAAATATCGCGGGTTCTGTTTTTTTCTCATCGTAGACACACATACCAGATCATCCTCTGTCGAACTTTTCCTATGACCGGGCTTGACAATCTAGTGGCAGTTTAGTCGAGAGCCCAGTGGCATGACCGGTCTAATACCACCGCCACTCGGTACAATACAGTTTACTACCCGATGGCGTTAGGTTTAAAATCGACGGTACATTAAACTGTCTAAGGAGTGCATCTTTAATTAACTGTCTGTAATACCTCCATTGTTATGATGTGATCAAGCTGTTCATATTCAACTTTGACTAGATCTGCTGCTCTCTCAGCTGTTCTTCTATCGTCTGCTAAAATAGCACCGATTATAGCTCCTTGACACTTCACCTGAAATACCATGTCTTAATCATAAATTAATGAATTCACCGATACACCAATTCACCGTCAAAGAAATTTCAAAGGTGGAAAAGGTATGAACTAATTAGTTAGAATTGTTGGTCTACCTCTTTAGAAACAAACATTTCTTCGTCAAAGACAACAGGACCCCAAGTATTATTACCAGGTACATCTTTATAAGTTATAAAATCCACTACACCAGGTATAGATAGAGCTTGTGATGCATCTACAGCCTTAATGGTACCATGTGCTACTTTACTTAATACATGTACTAAGGCCAACTCATCTACAATCAATATACAAAATATTACAGTAAGCCTTATACACAGGTGCATATAATAAATATATATCTGACTATAAAGAGTAACTAGAAGTCAGCATCCGAAGAATTTTGATTCATAGTTGCCTTAAAATGTTTTCACTTGTGTTGTTTGTGTCAAAATTAAATTGTCGACTTCATTGGATTCTATTTTATTTGGATTGTTTTGTGGGATCAGCAATTGTTGGGATGTAACCGATTTCGTGTTATGCAGGATCAGCAATTGTTGGGATACAACCGATTTCGTGTTATGTGGGATCAGCCACAGTTGGAATATAACCGATTTCGTGTGATGTGGGATTAGCCACTGTTGGGATATAACCGATTTCGTGTTATGTGGGATCAGCCACTGTTGGGATATAACCGATTCCATGTTATGTGAGACCAGCCACTAATGGGATATAACCTTTTTCGTGTTATGTGGGATCAGCCACTGTTGGGATATAACCGATTTCGTGTTATGTGGGATCAGCCACTGTTGGGATATAACCGATTCCAAGTTATGTGAGACCAGCCACTAATGGGATATAACTGATTTCGTGTTATGTGGGATCAGCCATTGTTGAGATATAACCATTCCGTGTTATGTGGGATCAGTCATTGTTGGGATATAACTATTCCGTGTTATGTGGGTTCAGCCACTGTTGGGATATAACCGATTTCGTATTATGTGGGAAATAAACGATTTCATGTTATACCGACGATACAACCAGCTAAACTTCTAATCAATCCGAATTGCGCTTAATCTTTAAACACAAAACTTTTTTCGAATAAACACAGCCCCAACATTTATGGAAATAACAAACTCGATTTATTTTGACCTAAATCAAAGATGTTTATCACCTTAAAGAATCTAATATTTCCATCACTGTTCTAAAAATGGAGTTGGGATTGAAATCTTAAGAATTAAATTGCATCAATGTAGTTTATGTATGTTATGTCTAAAGTAATTTTAATTTGTAAAGGCAATAATTCGGATTTCACTATACATTCTAATCATCGTTTTTAACCAGGGTCAATGAATCAATTTAAACTACAATCAGGAATAACAGTTCTGTGAGGGTTGCTTACCTCTATACATAGGTAAATCATCCACATACATGGCTTCACCAGTAGCTTGTTGATATGCTGATGTATGTACTATAGGACGACCAATAGCATCTTCTATTGTCTGGCCCTCTGGTACCTCTTCATAAACTTGGGTACCTTTAGATAATGGCTGCTCTGTTAACATCATCGACGGTGATCCATTTGATATCTAATCAAAAATAACAGTTCAAATGTATTTCACCAGTCACCAAGGTGTACTATCAATTTCTCTATCTATGAGGAAATATCTTCATTGCCTGTTCTTATAGCCAAATAACTTTACTATGGGTTGAATTCCATCAGTTTTCCGGCCTGGTTCGCCCTTGTCAGTGGTGTATGATGGAGGGTCTGGCAAGGGAGAACGTATAGTCGATCGGATGGGACGAAAGTTCGAGGTCCTGCGTACCCTTGCCAGTTGGAATTTGAAATAAGAGTGGCGATGTCCGAGCAAACTTTCACTTTTAGCAACCTGCATGGCGTATGCCCGTCTTAATTAGCACAATCGGAGCAGAAAAGTAGGACATTAAATTCCATTTAATTTCATTTCATTTGAATTCCAACAAGTGGTGTATTAGAATTATCAAAATTGTATTTTTGAGATATCCCATCCCTGTTGCCATGGGGTTATTTGAACAAATCGAAATAAGCACCAAACAAGCCAAGCAAGATATCTTCGAAATGCGGCTGAAATCCACCAAATCAAAAAAGTGAAGGTAGGGTGGACAATGGCAAAAGCGCTACGCCATGTTATGATACGATTATGTCACGTGGGAATCGATTCCAGCGTAACTACGGAAATGAAATGAAAATGTTTCATGGTCTAACGTTTCTGCACCAACTGGGATGGTGAAGACAGGTCGCAAAACCGGAGGGACAATCTGTAGTGAGGATAACATTTAACATAAACGTGGAGATATATAAATGACTGCAACAAATATTCTGAGCAAGTATGTATTAAGAATTACAATTATATCATAATAATGATACCTTTGAACGTGCTGACTGAACAAAATGATAGAATTTAAAGAAGAAACTTGTTGTTAATGTTTTTCTATATTCAACCATACCACCAGGTGATCCAGGAGGTAGTGGTAAATCTTTCTCTAATAGTTGACAAGCTGTCTGTATTATATTATCATTCCATTCTCTATAATCAATAATATAACATAGTAAACAAAGTCTGTATTCTATCTCATTCCATTCTCTATAATAATAGTACATAAAACAGAAACAGCATACACCGTATTCCTGATTCCTTTCTGAACTATGATCAAGTGCAACATAAATTCTTCAAAAGAGAAGCGCCCTAGAAAGATGAACTACATCATGTATGGGGCACAACAAGATAATACCCCTTCCAAATATTTATGCAAAAAAAAAAGTTGGCTGCCATAATTGATAACTTATTCTTGAATTATCAACACTTACTTATTTCGTAGGCCCGCCATTGTTTTGGTCGCCATGACAGTGGTAGGTGCCATTCCACCAAATGCCAACGACATATCTTCAATTGTGTTTGCTTGATCTTTAAAACGAATTTTCATTCCAGCATTAACAATGGATATATCATCTTCCTTACGACCAGCTTGTTTAAAACTATACATATACTCATTCTGTAAGTAAAATGTGGAACCATGAGGAGAATTTGAGACGAATAACAGTTCATTTATAAATTGCGTCCAAAACATACTAAAGCAAGCAAACTTTATTTAAATCGTTTTAACAATTGAGTAACGTAGTAAGACATGTCACCTAAATACATCCGGTGGTCTGAATTTACACATATTTCAAAAGATACAACATATTTTGAGTTTTATTCAGTAGTGTCGTAAAGTTCTGGTATATTTTCTTTTGAACACCTGTATATAACCGTGAAAATGGAGGCCATCAAATTGTTTGTGATAAGTTTGATGCCAAAGTTGAATCGGGATACATTCTGAAAGGACTTACCGCTGACGTAAATGGTAGAAATATAGACACCAGTATTTCATTTGGTTCGATGACAGTTTTTCTATAACCAGTAAAAAATTTATCATCCATTTTTATCTTTCTTTCACTAGCACCTTTAGATAAAATACGTTTATAAATAATTTTGTGTTAAAGTCGGTTCTACTGTAATCTAATTGCTAACTAGCTTATCGTCTAGGCCCAATGTTTTATGTACTTTACTATCCTTCCATAATGCAATGCATTCTAATTTCGTTGGGGCATTGCTGACTTGGATTCATTGTAACAAGTTTTATCCGGAGGTCATGCATGTGGTGGTGTATGTATGCCTACTTTATAATATTTGACACTTTGTCTTATGTCTAGTATTGTATCAAATTTTAATTTTCGGTCTATAAGAACGAAAATGTTGACCCGCAAAGTGGCGAAATCCATTGAATAGAGAGATCTTCCCTTGTCAAATATAACCTTTACTTGCCTTTAGACTTGACAGTTAATACTGCTCCCATTGCCATAAACAGTGGATTTAAATCTGATATTGGACTAGCTGTCATTATGTTTCCACCTACAGCCTGTAAATGCAACATACATCTATTAATTGTATCAGCCAGGGAGGAAATCGACAACATCATTTTATTCTCTCCTTGGCGGAGTTGCAAGTAAATACAAGCTGTTTGTGGGTGAGAAGAAGCAATATTAAAGTAAATAAAATTATCATACGGTGTGAGATAATAATATATAACATTAAAAATGTGTATTACAGTATATCAGGAAATGAAGTGTGATTTAATAGGAGATTATAATAAGAGCAACTTACAGCTACATTCCTGATCTGGTGCCCTGCAAACCATCTTAACATTTCTAATATAGCTTTAGCAGACCGGGTCTTCTCCTCTAAAATATAAAGCAGCTAAAGTGATTTGTCTCGTTTCTCTGCTGTGACTAAACGGGTATGCGAAAGCAATCGGCATTTCTCGTCGTTTTTTAATTTATAAGCGAACATTATGTGGACTAAAGAATGAAACCAGAAGATAGAAAAGATTATTTCCCATTATGTAAGAGCTAAATCTGCCAATTGCAGGTCTTTATTTTAGCTTCAAATGTTATATAAACTATTATTTAAACATTTATTCACATGACAAGCCTATAATCAACTCTCAAGACCATCGGATTGCGAAAATTTAAACGGAAAAAAACATGACAGCCATTTAATGATTTTATTTAAAAATGGCGAATCGATGCCAAGTCTCGAATATATAGTCCTGTTGTTGCGATATGTCACATAAACTCAAAACTTAAACAGAGATAACTTCGCTCAGAATATAGTAATTTTCAATATATTCATTTTGCATTATTAGGCCTGCAGCCAAATTTCTAGCTTGCTTAGAAATACAATTCCGCTACAACACAATCCTTGGCAAAGAATATTGGTTAAATTTTGATTTCAACCAAAATGGACAAGGGGTAATACTTACCAGAGTAATTGTTCAAGACAGATTGTAGTGTTTCTTCAAATCTAGCAAGAGTAACAGAAGCGCCAATATTAATGCCATCATCCACTACATTAATAGTATTTAGTACTGATATATTGGTTGCTGAGATCAAAACTTTATAGAACATCTTTTTGAATTTAGTTTCAATACCTGAACGAAGAAGATAAGATAACTTTAATAAACTGTCATTAAAAGTTTTTCGGTACTGTGTAGTTCTTTTAAATACGAGCTTCCAAATCACATTTTGTAGCTTTTATATAAATTATGTATATAAACTTTTGAATGAACGGAAGTTACATGTAGCCTACCTATTTCACTGTTACCAATAATAATTTTAGCATCAGGATAAGATTCTTTCAATTCTAAAAGTTCCGGTAATGTAACTGGTCGGTGCCATTCTATTTGGCCATTCTTAAAACTGACACATTGTTCATGATAATCTTTAAATCTAATCTGAAAATATTAAAATTAAATTATTTCTGATAGTCTTTAGATGTAATCTGAAAATATTAACCATATTAAATAATTTCTGATAGCCTTTAAATAATTTCTGATAGTCTTTAAATCTAATCTGAAAATATTAACATTAAATTGTTTCTAATAGTTGAGTGTAATAATGGAGTAAGTAACCAAAGAAAATTATATAACCCGATTAAATCCAAATCAACAGGGAATTCTAAAGATATTGTATCCCTTTAAATATATGCTGGGAATATAAAAGACAACACATATTTTTACTGGTTGTCATAGACTACATTAATTAAAACCAGCCTGTTAGTGTTAACTTTACTAGAATTTGGAAACAGAAAAGGGTACGGCAACACTCCCTTAGAGAGTAATTAAAGCTGGACAGGCTGATACATCTGCGTGGAGACTGGATCAAAAGATGATACCGGCGGGGCGGAGTAGTAAAATAAAATTAAAGAATCCACGCTCAACAGAATACACAACAGACTTGTAGAAGTAGAAGATTGTTTAATGGGTCAACGTTTCGGGTGCGTATTGCACCCGAAACGTTGACCCATTAAACAATCTTCTACTTTTACTAGAATTTAAAATATTAAATATACCTTCAGTTCTGGAGGGAATATTAATTCTTGTGTTGGATCATATGGTTGGTAATCTTTACTAAATAGTGTAGAAGATGCCTGAAATAGTGTTCAAATTCAAGATTATACATTTTCGTTGCAAATCTTACAAGTACCAAAACCCAAACTTACTTAATTCGAAACAAAGGAGTATAACTAGGGAAATTAATGCATTTCTTTCCTTGAATAGGGTGGAAAACCGATATCAATTTTTAGAAAGATTGCATAAATAATAGAAGCTTCCGTGGTGCTAAAAAGAATAACCTTTGAAGTTATTATCGAAAATCACTGAAAACCAACACAGTTCTTCAGTAGAATTGACAACAACATAAATGTCAAAGAGACTGCATCATGCTGACGACTCTATGGTACTAATAAATTTCGTAATAAAACGGCAATACCTCTAGAAGTAGAAGTCATTGTCGAATATCAAGGAAAATCAACAATGTAATTTATTATCGAAAATCCATGAAAAACGTTCTTCCTTTCCATAGGACAGACAACCAATATAAATTTCAGAAAGATATGTTTATGAAAGATCAACAGGTGTCTTAATTGCATTGTGATAGACAAACCCTGTCAATTTAAGAAATATTTAGCTACTTTTGTGATTAAAAGAAATGTGAACGACAGGGCGGCTTTAAAATGTATCGACATCAAATTCTGGTGTTAGTATTCCATCACTACCTTAAACATACATTATGCAAGAGCTAAATCTGCCTATTACAGTTCTTTCTTTAGGCCTGAAATATTATCTAAATTATAAATTAGACATTAATTAACCTATCCAGACCATAATCAACTGTCGATGTCATCGCTAGCCTGCGATATTTACTGGATTAGGTTCTGATTTGCTGTTCGACTTCCACTCACAATTTAATCATGAAATGGATAATCGAGACTATGTTTTTTATCGTACCGACTTTAGTAATGATGATCGAGGCTAGGCCGAAAATTCAATCGCTAAAATCTAGGTTCAGAGTGGATCAATTTGACTGAAATTTTTAGCAAATTCCCTCTACATTATCTAGTTTTTAACTATTATAATGAGAACTGCCAGCTCTTTATTCAATCTCCCATAATGAATCTTTAAGTTTAACCGTTGTTTGGTTTTGTTATGAACCTGATTAAAAAAAAGAAAGAACGGGCGGGATTATATTCATATTGCATTGAAACTAGACATATTTCCAATAAATGCACCGTTAAAAGATACGTACATCGACTATGTTACCTGTTTCCACTAAGCGTTCACCTTTCTTTTTATTTTTACAGCACTGTTCTCCCATAGCACAGTATTCCTGCGAATAAAAACAAGTAGCCCTGTGAACACAATTCATTTGAACTATGTCAACGATATATAACAATAAGTTTTGTCTTGAATTACCTTTTGGATACTTAAAAAATTAGAAGATTTTTGTTTACCTTAGTGAATGTACGGAAACCATCTATGATTGGTCTGTATCCGGTACATCGACATAAATTACCTTGAATCAGAAACAAAAGCATCCATTTTCTATTCGTCATATTTATACTTGCTTAATTGTTTACTACTCCTAATTTGTGGTGGATAAATTCACAATTGATCAATGCCCCAAATGCGTACAATGGTTTTAAACTAAAGACAATAAGTGTGTATGCTAATGCTGATCAAGAAAGTTTATAAGAAGACGACATTGTTATCATATTACCATCAAATGCTGTGTCGAGTTCCTCCAGGTTTGGTTGTGGATTATTTCTGAGTAATGTATACATTGACATTACAAATCCTGGTGTACAAAATCCACACTGTGATCCATGGGCTTTGGCTATTCTCTCCTACAAATATAATTTTAATATCAATTAGTCAAACTTTTTATGAATTACGAAAAGCCCCTAATTAGGAGAGAGAGAGAGAGAAATGGGGTTTAACGTCCACTAGACACAAACTATAAGGTCATTTCGGGACTAACATATGGTTTAATTTTATTTCAATAATTCGCTTGCGCGTAGGGGTCTTTATAGCAGTGGGAGGAAACCGGAGGACCCGGAGAAAACCCACGAGGTTGGACAGGCGACCCTACTCCTTGTCACGTACAACCAGGGATTCGAAACCACGCCAGTCGACTCAATGACAGACTTTATGGTACAGCCCGCACACGCTAACCATTCAGCCATCAACCCCCCCCCCCCTAATTAGGAGAAAAATAATTAATAATCGGTTACTACTAATACCGGTTACAATATATATAGTCGCTATTCTTAATAATAAGATTAGTGATGGAAATAAAATTTAAAAAAACAAAATTCAAATCGTAACTAATTTATTTGACCAGTGACAACTGGAGTTTACCAATAACAAAAGTCATTCACTGTGTAATTTGTGTGCTCATTGTGATAACGGTGGCAATCCAATGGCAATTTGCATTTCAAAGAGATCATTTAATATTGCATGTGTATTCACAAAAGGGCAAGATTGATTGCGGGGAACAACAGAGTATTGTGATTTCCTGGTGGAGTTTTTCCCATTTATTTATCACTTCCGGTTTCGGTTTATTAGAGATAAGCCTACCTGAACTGGATGTAGTTTTGTACGAGTACTGCCTATTCCTTCTACCGTAGTTACAGCTAAACCATGAACAGAACATAACGGGAAAAGACAAGCATTAGCTGAATAATGTCTTGATATATGTAAAGAAATTCACTTTTGAAAATCAACAGTGACACTTTATGTCTATAAATATACAAAACTGTCAGGCGCCATTCCCACAGTCAGAAGCGACTTTAAAGGACAGTGTCGGTGTCCACTAAGTATACATGTTTGATAGAATTGGTTCAACATATTCCAAATGCACCACCTAGTTCTTCCGCAATTTGAGGCTGCACCTTTTGTCGTTGATGGTTTTTAGAATAGATATTAATAACCACGTTAATATAGTTTGGTCCTGCAGAATTTACACCCCCGGAGCGATACGATGTAATTCCCTTTTATACACAAATGTGTACATTATATATGTTTATAAGTGTTTTGGGTTTGGGTGTATTTAACTTTCTACTCTGCAAATAAAATGTCAAGACGTTCCTTCTAGGAGACCTGATACGACTTCCCACAGTTATCCGCATATCTCGCATCCCATTTGTATTCACACCCATGGATATTGTAATTCTGATAGCAATCCTTGGCCCCATTTTGTTATCTTTTACCGATAAGCTTCGGCTTCTGAAATCGACGGGTGGGTGTCACGCACGAGAACGAATGTGGTAACTCTTTCTAGAACACTCGATAGAATTCGAGAGATTAATGTAACTAAAGGATACTGTATTTTATTTAACGATGGGTTATATGACGAGATCATAACTGTACAAGCACCGCAACCACCTTCTCCGCATCCTAGCTTGGTACCAGTTAAACGTACTGAAATATCTAGTTAAGGAACCGTTTCAATAATAAAAAAAATAATAATCCTGGCTATCGACTGAATAAAATATTGTTTATAAAGAAATCATATCAATATCTCTGGAATTAGAATAAAAGACTGATGATAAAGGATACGTGTATCACGTAGATATTCTAATAATGTTAATTCTGGATCAGGTTTACTTTCAGTAATCTGTAAGAAAATACTTGTTATAAATTAGAACTTGAACTTAAGAGTATTGCCACCAGTAATATTGCCATGTAAATTGGAAACTTAATGTCAAAAATAGACATTTCGAACCATCTAATTTCCCATGTTAATCTGTAAGATAGTTGGCCAATGGCTAAATGATATGAACATCGTCATCAAACTCAAGATAGCATCAATCTAAATCTTTGTTTCTGTTAAATCTAAATAATTAAAATGACTATTAGCCGTCTGCTGCGTTGATGTGTTAATGGATATCAAGATAATTTTTATTTTTATGTAAGACTGCAATGTAAGACTATTGTCGTAAAAAAAAAATTATAAGCAAAAGAGTCGTAAAAGCTCCGATCGGTAGATTGTAACAAGGTTTGGCTGATACGGACTAAAACTGAAGCTTGCAATCAGGATGAAATTGAACATGCTTCTTAGTCAATTCCGAGCTGTGTTCAGGGTAGCACTGATAATAAAGAAATTTAAAAGAAACCTATAGGCCCGTCTTTTGTTTCTAAACTAATTTTAAAAACACCGTACATAACCCATACTCCTCGCAGTGTTTCGTTTGATTACACCTAATCCCACTTAACACTGCTATAATAGAAGCAAATTTCTGTTCCAAATTATGACTGGTCAATAGCCGGATTAACAACCAATAGCTAACTGTAACAAAATCATTCGGCTTTAATAAACAGCGCTCCAAATTGGACCAAATATGTTGACATAACGTTACGTCATGACTCACGAACTAGTACGCCCAATTAACCAATGCTCAAGTATCAGAAGTCAATCCAGCAATAGCCAGAGAGGGATTTCTCGGACCATTGCTTCAGGAATATGTACATAACCATGCATAGTGCAGAAAAGACCATTCTTCGAGTCTACAACGATTTCGCAACAAAGCAGAAACTAGGAAAATCTTCTTACATCATGTTAGTGGTAGTTCCACTAATAATGAAATCTAACTCAAATAAAGGAACCTACAAAACACCCTAGCGGATCCGTCTGGAATCTCGTGTTTGTTTCTAAGCTAATTTGAAATGTAGTGTGCACAGATACATAATACAGAGAGGACATTTTTCGTGTCTGGAACTATATCTTAACTAAACTGCTAGATAGACCAGGAGCCCAGGGGGCCAACCTAGGCTAGATTACCGGGCACTCTTCCCGTGTTCTAAAAAAATAAATTTTTAGCCAGGATGCGTAGGCCTAGAATACTAATACCTAGCACGTATGGAAGAGGCGATAAACTGCGGTTACAAGAAATTTGGGGCGTGTCTGTTAGGGGTAACCCACCGCACAAACTGTCTGGCAGTGGTCATTCATGATTCCTGTAGTGGTACTGAACATCTCCAAAGCTGTTTTAGGTGGTACAGATTTCAGCTAATCTAGCCTAGCTGCGGTCTGGAAATTAGAAAACTCTTGTCAGGGATACTCTACCACTACAAATGTCTGACAATTACACAGCTCTGTCAGGGGTAACCCACCACTAGAAATGTCTGTTAGAGTGTTTTTGTAACACCTGAAGATGTACGGTACACTGCTGTACGATTTTCATGTGGTACACTTTTGAGCTAATCTAGCCTAGTTGGGGTGCATGGCATTTTGGGCGTGGAATACCACACCCACCACCGGAAACCCGACATACTTACATTCTGATGATACCAGATATACATGCATTGATACCATATAGGAGAAAATGGGTACACTTTTCAGCTAGGTTAACCCCCTGGCCTCCAGCTCTAAGATAATAATAGTGTAGCAGTTGAGGTACTGCAAGGATTAGATATTTGGCCTCTTTTCGATACTCTGGATCAAACCATACATATAAATTGCTTAAAACAACGATTTTATGTCTTAGAATGGCCCAGATATCTTATCTTTATGGCAGAACCCATTCCGGAACTGTATATAACGGTAAATCTAAGTTTACGAACTGGTGTCCCCTTGGGATTTGTCGTTTATGTATTTATCGTTTATGTATTATATTTCTATGTTACATAACCAGGAAAAATAATCCTGATTACCTCGGCTATGCTGATGACCCACAACTGTACATTGCCACAAATTCGACATCTGCAAACAGCGACACTTGACGCAAGTTATCTAGAAGAAATTATTCTATCAGTTACGGATGTATATAAGATGTTTAGAATAGCTTAAAATTATATTAAAATATGAGACACATTATTATCTGCTACTGCTACGCTATTTTTCTGGACAGGAGACTTTACATTAATAATCACATATCTAGTGACTGCAGGTCAACTAACTTTTGTATATACATTATTAGCCAAATCGATCAAGCCACGTGAACGCGCTTGTCACATTGAGGCTTGTAACAATTTGCAGAGATGTGTCAAAAACCATGTCAAGGGATCATACTACATCTGTTCTTATTTATGGCCTCCAATGCCTACCCATCTCAAGTATCGAAATCAAATTCTGAACAACTTTCTTAAATGTTTCTCTACGCTAGCTTCGAACTTTGTTTAAATTGCCATAAACCTCCACGTATTCTTCGAGCCCAAAACGCTAACCGTTAATCAATATGGGCCTTGTTGGCAGGGGCATCTGGTTCAGATAGCTTGGTTAGCTTTAAAATTTTATTAAAATATGGACCATGGTCGACATTGGTCACTGGCACAACTGTTACAAAGGACGTGCTTAGCGTGCTGCGAAATCAAAATAATTTACTATTTTGATTTCGTATACCGTTTTTTTAGGACTTCGAATTTTGTCTAATGGTTTGGATTGTTCGTACTTGGTTTTATTTTATTTCAATCGATGTAACAATTTACAAAATGATTTATTATGACCCAGCCATGATCGGGTCCACATATCGTGATCAGTTTGTCCGTGCGCCTGCTTGTTAATCACCACTAGAAGGTTTGTCTCGAATGAGGTTGGAATTAATAGTCTGACGGCCAGGGTCACAGTCTTAGTTTACCTTTGAAGATCCTAGGTCTATTTTCACCATCTTAGTCCGCCCTTTGTCTTAACTTCTTGGGTGTTAATTGTTGATATATTGCATGAATTTTCACCACCACTATAAGGTGTATAACGAATAATGTTAGAATCGCTAGCTTGAAGGTCAATGTCACTATCTTAGTTTGTCTTTGAAGAACCTATGTCCACGTCCATAAGCCATGTACGCTCTGAATCTTGGCTAAGGGGGAGGGGAGAGTCCGGAAAATTTTTGTTCTGAAATTTTAAAGCTATTGAATTGAAAATGGTACAAGTAGTTAGGAAATGTAACAAAGAAGGGAAAGCGGTAAGTTTAAAAAGAGTTGTTGCCAGGGTAACTTATTTTGGGGGAAAAATTGATAAAAAATGTAGGTACACTATAAATCTGTAACTAATTAAGATACAGTACTGACCAAATTAATAGCAATTTTTTTTAAAAACGTTGCAGAATTAACTCACTAAAATTTTAGTATGAATAAAATCATACACCGTGAATATATTGAACTGAATATTCTTACACATAACCATATTGACATCTACTTCACATTGCATGGTTGGTCGACGCAAAGACGTGTATAGATAAAGTTGCGACAACTGTGAAGCCATGAATTTCATATGACGTCATGCAAATATGACGTCAAGCGTACAAAGACGCCATCTTGGGTCCCAAGTAACTCTACCAACTTATTATCTATTTATATGCCCTATTATATTGTTGGATATCATAGATTTCAGCGAATAAGTGTCTATAGGACATAAAACATACATTTTTTAAACGAAGAGTATAGCTGAACATACTATTATTAGTATTATACAACAAGAAGCGCACATTATTGTTATATAGCCTTATTCTATAAGAAAAATAAAAATAAAAAATACACTAGATAAAAGTGCTATTAAACATATTTAACTTGCATTCGCTTTTAAAGGAGCTAAATCCCTAATATTTGGGACCTAGAAATTGTCACAAATGGGTCGCACTAACAGCGACATTTGTTTCGGGCATATTTGTTTCATAGATGACACGTCTGGTGTCATGTGAATGCAACAACAGCCTGGTTGATTGATTTGTTGATTGGAGTTCAGATGTCTTCATTAAAATGGACCACTTTCAGGCTGTCGTATTCACGGCCTAGCAAGACCGGCTTGAAATTTCTAGAAATTTTCTAGGGGAGACAGGCCCCTACAAATCCCCCGACGGTGCGTTTCACGACTTCGGAACTCGACGGTGACCTGGAAGAGACGTCAAAAACCATTTAAAAGACATAGTAAAAGTCATATCTTACGAGATTATCACTGGTCTTGTCGGAAAATGCTACTTTAAATTTGACAGTCATTTTGAAAGAAATGCCCGGCGCCATACATGTGAAAAATACATTTTTTGATTTTTGTCAAATTCGGTTTTCGGCACATTTCGCCTCTATGACCAGTTTAAAAAGAAATTATTTATTCCCCCACCATTAAAACACACTAATAAGGAAATATCGCTCTCAGAAACTCCATGGTTTCTTTTGCAATTTGTTTGGGGTAAGACGTTATCACCCCCCGCCTATGTAAAAATAATATCAATCTGTCTACCACACAAATTTAACAGATACAAATGCATGTTATTCCACAGGTAGACAGACAGGGCCTCCTTTGAAGGGAATCAGTTTAGAGTTTGTCTGACCCCTTTGAATATTTGCGTCTCATCTCAAATGAACCTGTTCTGATTGAGAATCAAACATATATCGTACCTGAGATTTGTTAGCTTGTTCCACACAACCCAACATTTATCGGCACCGGGATTAAGGGTATATATCGTTGTTTCTAACGCTTATTGGGAATACGCCACGGAAACTACAATAAAAACTTATTTACAAAAACATTCTAAAGAGTGAAAACTGACATATTTAAAGCTTTACTGTATTTAAAGAAATAATTTAAATCAGCCGGCTGAAACCCTGTCTCCGCTATTTGTTCAATCATTCTTTAGGTATGGTGCCAGTTTCCACCGAAAATGACATCGCAAACAAGTGTTCAAT